CTCATTAATTCAACCTTTTCTTTTACTGAAGATTTGGTGTAGTTTAGAAGTGACCTAGTTGTAAACTTCCGTTTTGCACATCTTGCAAGAAGCAAGAAGAGTAAACACAATTTCAAAACTTATGTTTACTCGAATGGACAAATTGTGTTGAAGTTTGGAATGAATATATGCCAATGGAAATATTTCTATATTTCCATGAATGAAATGCCACATATGAATCAGTGCCACATTGTCTAACTATGGATTTGCTGACCATTCTTCGATATTCCTTAAAAACAACCTCTACTAGAATGCATGTTAACTTAGATGCAGGTCCTGTCTCTATCTGAAAGTACAGTTGACCCTTGAACAACAAGAATTTGAACTGTAAGTGTTCACTTATATGTGGATATTTTTCAACAGTAAATACTACAGGAATACAACAGTAAATATGCATAATTCGTGGTTGGTAGTATCTGCAGATATCCAACCTCTGATATGGAGGAACCACCTATATAAAGGGTCAACTGTAAGTTATACTTGGGTTTTCAACTGTGCAGAGTTGAAAACCTGGGGGCGCTTGGCGCTTCCAACCCCAAGTTGTACAAGGGTCAAATGTAATAAAATTACATTCCTACTTAAATGTTTTATTGGTTTAAGTAGTATAATAATTCTAATCAGCCTCGATCATAATTACTTAATGTATTAATATAACCTTATGTTTATCTTACTTCTACCTTTTAAAGTATACATTGTTCTTATTCCTATGAAATTCCTGAAAACAAAAACATTTATTTCACCAATGTCAGTCTAAAATGCTTCTTTAATAGCAGATCAGAGGTACTATTTCAAGAGGAACAGTTCTCAAAGGCCTTGACAGTTCCTGCCACATAGCTGAGTTAAAATGAAGGCTCACCATCAGGTAGCATTTTGAAAGCCTAGTATGAGATATTTTCTCTACTTAAAAGTAAGAAATAGCATCTGCTTAAAAAAAAAAAAACTTGACTATTTACATTTTGCATTAATTTTGACTGGTTATGTGTTATTTATTGATATACATAATTGTTTAAGACTTTCACTATAAGTTGATCTTACTTAAAACAATCTTTCTCTTCCATCTGTTTCAGAGTAATTGGCTAGCACTGACCTCTCCAAATTTGTAGTTTCTGGAATCTGCCTTAATTCTGTTTATCTCTGATAAAATGGTCCAATGTTTAGAATTCTCTCAGTGCTACAGACTTAGTTATGCTGCAAATGTATATAGCTATCACGGCACTATGCTGGGTGTGATAATCCAGAAAGGCACTCTGCACTGGAGGAACCGACATCTGGCTGAAGGGTCCAGTCAGGGTCAAGAACCCGCGTGAAGCAAGATGACCTTACAATGGGTACACGGTATGCAGAGCTAAGGGGAGCAGCAGTCACAGCTTGGTGAGATCAGTATACAGGACTGTTTTATGGGGAGGTGATGCCAAGCTGGGTCTTAAAAGAACAGGTCTTGAAGATCCCTCACAGGTGTGAAGGAGGCCAGCCCGTGCAGGCAAAGGCCTGGGGATACAATCCCCCGAGAGCTATAGTGATGTATTAGAGGACCTGTATGGCTAGACTTTCTAGGGCACAAGAAAAGGGGAGGTGCTCATTCTCCCTGACTTCGTAGTGATCAGAAGATTGGACTTCAGTCCTAGATTCAAATTGCTTCAGCACTGAAAAATATCCGTGATCCTTTGTTCCTCTGCTCTCGAATGTAAGACGTAGAAATGGTCTCTAAACAGGGCTTTCACTCTGGGAAAGGAAATGTTCAAAGAGCAAAATTTTAAGCTACGGAGCTCTTCTCAGAAGGAATGTTCTATATATAAGAGGAAGCCAAGGCTCAGTGAGCTTGTAGGTTGAGAGAGAAGGAGACAGGGGTCAGGACTCTGCATGCTTTCTTGTAAGGCTCCAGACTGGGGTGACTGTGGCTGGTTGTCCCAGAAATGTTTTCTAGTCATGAAGGAAAGTCATGTGAGAGACTGTCTCCTTCCTGATTGTTTCACTTTTAACTCAACAGAACAGCTAGAAAGCAGATTTCCCAGACACTTCACAAGGAGATAAACAGCCTGAAGAAAATCTGACATCTGCAAATCAGCATAGACTAGCTCTTAAATATTTTACATGAGTAATAAATTAAAAGAGCAGCCAAGCAGGACATGGCAGATGAAAAACTGGGTGGAAAACTGAAGCCTGGGCTGAAGAGAAGTACCCAAGAAAAACCATTCTTTTCAAAGAATGCCAAGAACTCAGATTTGAAGATTGGCCTTGTCAACAATTTAAGTCTCTGATTCCTCTCAAGAAAAGACGTGATAAATAATTAAGAGTGAATTATAATGCGCACATCCTTGAAAGCATTTTAACCTGTATCTGTCCCACACAGAGAAGTCATCACGGGTAACTCTTCAGTCACTTCAGACTCATCACTGACTTCTCTGGTAACAGCTGACTAGTACTGGTAACATCTTTTGACATCAAGAGCCAAGAAAAGCCTCTCGAGATCATTTGTCTTGCTTTAAGTTGACTATTGATGTCACTCTAAGTATTTTCAACTCTTTGAGAAACTGTTCAAGCTAAAAAACACGATAGCCTTGATTACTTCCTTTCATTGCATTTCTTCAATTGCTAATTCAACGTTGGTAAATGGATTTCTTGCTAGGCTAATAAATGAGCTGCTGAGAAAAAAATTATAATGAGCATGTTAGTGGTTATTTATAATGAAAAGTATTTAAAAGCAGTTCTTTTACGCCTCTTAAATGTTTGGGTGTGGTACTAATTTACATTATGAAGAAGATGACTAACTTAGCAAATGCACACATGGGTCTAGCCCAATTACCACAAACCTGAAGTAGGAGAGGCCAAAGTAATGGCCTGTCCTGATGCATGTTTGCTCACATGCATCATTTGAAGCTAGATTGCAGCTTTTGAAGCTAGATTTAAAAGCAAAAACCTATTACCCTTCATATGAGGCTCCATCAGTTATTAATTAAAGATTACGCATTCTTACACATTAAATACATATGCACAAGGCCTCATTTTAAGACAAAAATACAACTTTATAAATAGACTGCAAAGTATGACCAACCTCCCTAGCCAATTGGCTGGGTTGCTCCCTGTTGTGAAAACATCCCAGGAGAGGAGTCTGTCATCTGTTAGGAGGCGTCCAAGGATCTGAGTGCTTGGGAGGCAGAGTTCTTCTGTAGCTCTGGGAATCCTAGCGCTGGCTGGAGGCCAAATCAGGAATTACTGTGAAGCCCTTAGGTTACTTGAAGCAGTAACCTCAAAAGATACAGTAATCTGAAAAAAGATACACAAAAAAATCTCTCTCAGGTGTTTCATATTAAAAGTTTTGGGTGGAGTTCTACAGACAGCAGATCCAAAACATAGGTGAGGCTCTAACAAAGCTTGGTGATAAGGCAGATCAGTATACCTTGCTGATGATTTAAAAACCTAATCTAGAGCATTGCCTCAAAATTAAGAATTAAAACACTAACACAAACCTAAATTTTTAAGATTATTGTTGAACTCTGCTTCCTAAAAAAGATCTTTCAGAGGGACTTCCATGGTGGTCCAGTGGCTAAGACTCTGTGCTCCCAAAGCAGGGGGCCCAGGTTCAATCCCTGGTCAGGGAACTGGATCGCACATACTATAACTAAAGTTCACACATGCCACGGAGAAGGGGGAAGATCTCGAGTGCCTCAACTAAATAAACAAATAAAAAAACCCAAAACAAAGATCTGTCAGAATCCTTTGAATCTCTTACTTCTAAAGGGCAGTATTTAATTTGTCTAACGTAAGTGTGGTCACCATTTTATGGTTGGCAAACATAAAATCAGAGAGGTAAGGAATTTTCCTTACATCACACAGTGGGTAAATGAGTTTGTAATAGAATTCAAGCATCTTCCACCAGTAGCTAGAAATGACAACAATCATATAGCCAATTTTTTTATTATCAGGGTTTTTCATTCTTCACGTGACTTTTTGTGTTTATTTGATTCTATAACCTATAACGTAGGTACTACTGGCATTTTCTTTCCACGTGTGAAAAACCAAAGCACAGAGAAGCTATCTGACTGCTCCAGCATCATACATTGGTCAGCAAACATGCAGGCAGGAGGGACATTTACAGTCCCTGCTCTTTTTTTTTTTTCATTTATTTTTATTAGTTGGAGGCTAATTACTTTACATCATTGCAGTGGTTTTTGTCATACATTGAAATGAGTTAGCCATGGATTTACATGTATCCCCTCTTAACCACTGTACCAAAGTGGTTTTATTTCTCTACCCACTTCTACCTCTTTTTCAACCTACTTCCCTACAAAAATTTGTGGGTTATTTGCCTCTCAGATACCATGAAGGAACTCACCATAGAGTAAGTCCTCCCTCTAGACCCAAAGGCAAAACAAAACCACAAGGGTGACTTTTGGTCTGACAATCTGTGACCCAGGATCTGCCAAGAAGAGGTACCCCCTTACAATTCCTGCACAGCCTCTGTGGTTGAGGGCCTTGACCCCAAGACTCCCTAATTCCACCAGCATTCACATTAGTTGTAATCAAGCATTCTTTCCATGTACAACATTGTTTGTTTTGTAGAAATGTAAAAAACACATTTCAACTATTCATCTGTTGCTTAAATCTCCTCTATGAATACTCTGGCCAGGCGGTCTGGAAATTTGAAACCTCCCATGTTAGCACATTCCATCTTGGACAGCTTTAACTGAGAAATGTCTTTTCTCATATTGGAAAAAAAATCTGCCTGTGACTTCTTTTTGTTTTTCCAATTGTAAGTATTAAATCTGTTTATTTGTTTTTATTTTGAGAAGTTAATGAACTATATAGACCCTATCCCCAGAAAAAACAATGTAGACTATGGCCATTCACAAAAAGGCTGACAAGTAGCCCTCTGAAGGCATACAATGGTCTGTGAACCTCAAGGTTAGAAACTCTCTTCAATAACAACCCTTCAAATGCTGTGAGTGAGAGCGCACTCTTACCCTCTGTGCTGTGAACCATGTCCAAGAAAGGACTTGTGTTCTTCTCTTGCCACTGACTTACATCGGCTTGGATTGTGGTCATTCATTTAGCCCAGGGAGAGCTTCCTGAACCTTGGCTCTGTGATCTGATCTATTCACTATGCCTTCTTCAAGTCAGCTCTAGTCTTGATCACCACAGCCCTGGCAAAGACCTTAGACAGGAAATAGCTGGAAATAAAACCCCAAATGACAGGATAATCGCCCTGTGAGGTGGGAAGTGCCCACTATATTTTTCTGCCAAAATCATATACTGGGACTTGAGCCTGTGAATACACAGGGAAGTGTGCACACTTCAACAAACAGAATATAATCATATGCCATTAACTTTATCTCTCAAGAAACCTACTTTTGTTTCATTTCTTCAGTGTTGGGTTAGTTCAGGACCTAGACTAACCAACTCAGAGGATATGAAAACACATGAGAACCACATGATTGAGGGTCTAGGTACCAATTGCAAAACTTCCTTTTACATCTTAGAATGTGGCCTCAGGAAACCCAAGTATTTTCCCAGGTCTAAAGTCCCTCCAACTACAGTTTTCCTAAATAAAACAGAGTAGCTGCCTATGGGCTATCTCTTTGGTGTGAAGAATTCTCATACCAGCAAGTTTACAAATGCCAAACAGCAAGTTTACAAATGCCATGTTGTGTATTAGGGTTTTTTTTTTTTTTTTAATGGTTTAATTTACTTGTTTTTAAATGAGTTTTTTCATGCCTCAAGGATACCTCGTAGTGTTCTAGCATTTTGAGGACAAATTGATATTGACCCTGTCTGAGTACTTTGAAGATTTTAGAAATTAAATCATATCACTTCTAGTGTTTGTCATTTCAAAACTAAGAGCTTTAATATAGCCAACATTGTAGAAGAAGATTGGAAAAGAATTGAATCAGAGGATCCCACTCTGTCTTTAACTACACAAGTGTTAACAAGCAATTCTTCTGTCCTTTCTGGGCCTCTTATTTCTCATGCATAAAAGTTACTTCTCCAGTTTTCAAAAATCATTTTATTCTAATTTTGTTAAATTAGATGGATGCGCTAAAGCATCAGAACCAAGACAAATAGCAATATCTGGATAAGGCTGAAAGTATGATTTTAACATACAAGGGCATCACAAAATATCCTTTCACTCTAGTGGTGATGCATGGTGGGTCACAGTACACAATGCCTCTATTCCAAAGGTTCCTAAACTTTGGAAACACTTAGGGAACTAAAAAAGAGTAAGTATTAAGTCTGTTTATTTGTTTTTATTTTGAGAAGTTAATGAACTATATAGACCCTATCCCCAGAAAAAACAATGTAGACTATGGCCATTCACAAAAAGGCTGACAAGTAGCCTAAGTACTTACTCTTAGGGTGCCTAGATCTCACCCCAAAATGTTCCAAAAGGCATGAGATTACCTCGACCAGTAGAATTATAAAAACTTAGAAAACATATAAAAACTTAGAAAACATAAAAACTTCTTCAGTTTAGAACCACTGTTCCATTCCAGCTTTCAATTCTGAATGTACGTTAAGAATCAACTGATAATTTTTCAAAGACTGCCAGTGCCTAGGTCCACCCCCAGATTCTGACTCAATTGGCCCATGGGACGAGGGCATTGACATGTTTTAAAACTCTACAGGTTATTGTGATACAAAAACAGGGGTGGGAACTACTCCTCTAATCTCTACTTCACATGATCCTTCTAGTTGATCATCCTGACATCAGTCCCACACCGGCCACTTAACAAATGAAACATCTTTGGACCTAATTACAAGGTACAGCTCCACCTCCACTATATGAACCTGGTGTCATAACTTCCTGCTTTTTCTATAGGACCATAACTTCTTATCTTGTCAATTAACCAGTGCTCCCGGTGTTCTGTGACCTGAATTTCCCAGCTATGGGCTCTCAAGTGTTTCTTTCAGGTTGTAGTCCCACTTCTTTCTATCAACTTCTGTTTGCCTTGTGCATCAATTCTCTCTAGTACTTTGAATGCCCTTGCCTACTCTTCCAAATGTCCTCTATATCTTGGATTTTCTGATCAAATTTCTCTTATGATCCCAACTAACTACTATTAAGTGGAAGACAAAAGGATATATCCAACTGAAAAAAAAAAATCTGCCTAATTTCGCCAATGGCTGAACAAATCCTAGGCATAAATATCAAGGAAATTGGAAACACACACACATACACAATTTCTAAAACTATAGCACTTTTTTCCATTCTACACTGGCTTCAGTTCTGGCCAACTACTTAAGAAACACAAGAATCAATCTTGGAAAAATACAAAGATGAAAATTGTACATTTTCAAGAGAATTAAGGGGTTACCAATAGAAGGTGAAAGCAAAGATTAGAACCTCAGTCTAGAAAAATGAAAGCTGATGGAGAATCATTTTTTAACAGTGACTAAAACAATATTATTTTCTCAAATATGGAACATATAAGCTGAAAGAACAATGTTCTAGGAAAAATGAAATACTGCATAGTAATTATTAAATAAACATAAGAAGTTTATACAGAGTAAAAATAAATAGGTTCTCTGAAGTCTTAGATAAATTTGGTAAATAATTGAGATTGTTCAGAAAAAAGCACGTAGCATTTGGGGAGTAATTTACAAGTTTTTTAAGTGCTTTCATATACATGTTCTTATTTGAGTCTTGTAAAAAGTCAGAAATTAAAACTGTTCTGAGTATATTCTGAACAGTTTGAGGCAGTATTATTAAGGGATCCAACATCTGCTTTGATGAAAGTTTCTTTGAGATGCTGTCTGAGAGTGAGCTGCCCAGATCTTTGCTCTAGTGGCATTTATACTCTTTATGACCAGAGATGGATTTTCCATAAATCTAGTGAAGTTTTAAGCTTTAATCGCTTCTCTTGCAAGGATTTTTTCCAAGCCTTAAGAGAAGCCCTGGCAGTAGGTTCTCACAGTTGTGTGTTTTTGTCACATAGCCAAAGTAAGTTATCATTTGCTGTGACTTTTTTCTTCATTCTACTTATTTTTGTACATTCTCTATATTGGAAATTTAATATTCTTTTTCTTAAATATGAACTATGGTGCCTCTCCTGCTTATGAGCTATTATTACTAAGTCATGATGTCCTGCTACCCACTGCAAGGCCCTTAGCATCCTCTTTGTCTTCTACCATTCTTTTTCCATCAACCCTCAGCCTTTGAGCTTCAGGTTTTCCTTGCTTTCTCCTCAGCCATGTTCCTCATTTCTGAAGACCATCTCCTCACAGGAAGTGTCTTCCCCTGGAAGACTCAGCATATCAGGTCAAGCTTTCCAGTTAATCCCTTTCTCTTCCCTGGACCGGTTCTCCTCCTCTTCCTCAACTTTGGAGGTTTCTCAGCCTAAGAGGACAGTTTCTACTTGGAATTCTGCCCACGGGGTCCTCCCAGCTTTGCCCTTTTGTTTCAGGTGCCCGAAAGGGCTGCTCCTCAGAAACTTCCGCGCTGCCTCTGCCCACACTCAGCCCTTTCGGCAGTGATGGTCTCCTTCAGTGGTTTCTCCTTTCTAAACTTTCATTCCTTAACCACCAGGGGAAAATACACTACATACTGGAAATGCCTTTTATCTTGAGTTGTTTTGGCACAAGTGCCACAGAAGAGCAGGAGAGGAAAAGATTTGTGGCAGCTGCTCCTGGGCCAACCTTCCCCACCCACCCCCCACCCACTGTGGATAAGCTGTCAAAATAGACGCTGGGAATGTAAACAAATAAAACAAAATAAAAACACAGGTTTTCTTTCCATGAAACGTGGTTTTGCACACCTGCAGTTCTCAGGTCAGCCTGAGGGAGGCAGAAAGAGCAGTGTGGGGCGGTGCGTCGCGGAGGGATCCATTTACACGCGCGCACACGACGTAGAACATGGGTCACGTGTTTCAGGGTGACTTCAGCAGCTTAGCTGCGATATAAAGATCTGCTCGAAATTACCCACCCAATATAGGGAAAGGGAAATTTTTTATTTTACAAAGATTTCGATAATGCTGGTTTAAGCTCAAAGAACAGTAGCACTCTGAAGTTTATCTAGAAGATGTAATTAAATGTAGACCATCTCAGTCAGTGAATATTTTAGTTATCATGTTTGTTTTCTCATTTAAGTAATACTAAGTAGGGATTCTGAAAAAGATTTAAAATAGGTTATACTGCTGTGGCATCCTAATACTCCTCCCAGAAACCCTTCTAATGGGTTAAATAAGACTTAAGTAAAGATGTTAGTATCACGAAGCATTTAAATGAGCATCCTGGGCAGGATCAGCATTGTGTTTAAATAGAGATACACAGAATTGGCAAAAAAAAAAAAAAATTAAATAAACAAAGAGGAAGAGATTTAACCTTTGCCTTAGGTTTCAGTCTAGGAATTTGCAGTACTTTAATGCTACACATTTTGTTCAACCTACAAAAACCCACAATATTTATGGAAGCTCAAGGGAGTCAACTTCTCACTTCAGGTTCTCAGTATAATAAAACACTAGTGCTGTGCAAAACTCACAAATTTTCATACATACAGGAGAAAACTGTGCTGATTTCCTGGGTGCAAAAGATTTAGTAATAAAAATAAATGAAAGTATAGGTTAAAACGTAGCCCCAGTATTTTTTCACACCTATCATTTTCATATCTACTAATTTGAGGACCCATGTCCTGGGATATCTCTTTGGGGAGAAGAAACAACCATGTACAAATAATAACCAAGTCCTGTGAATTCCTGACAGTTCTAACATTTTTGACATAAAGATTTTTAGTTAGATATGTATGCCTTGATTTTATCTATCTCTTATCACCACCCTGGGCATTCTCTTTCTTTCAATAGTTCAACAGTATACACTCACTGAAAATGCTGAATCACAGTGATATGAGCTAATCATGCAATCTCCTGCTTAGGATTACAAATAACGAAGAAAGATCAGTGATGATTGGATGAATAATGACCAATATGGAATTTAATCCACTACTTATATTGGCTGTCTTTTTGTAGGGGGGATTCCTTGATGGCTCAGCA